TTTAAAAAAAAAAAAAAAAAAAAAAAAAAAAAAACAAGATGAAAATCCTTTCTGATATCAATCTGAAACAAAAATCAAGAAATTGTAAAAATATCCCAGTTAAATAAATGCAATAATACCTCAATATTTAAGTAGGTATCATCAAAATGGCTTCATTTGTTTCTCACTAACCTTAAAAAAAAGCATCATTGTGTTTGAAACAGTAAAGCAATATAAATTTTTTAATTAAGAAAATGTTTTGTGATATTTCCAAGATATCTAGGATTAATGAACCTGTTCCACTGAACCACCGAATGATTAGTTGTTGTTTTTTTTCTTTAGTCCAACTGCTTTTAATGTTCTTTCTTGTTTCTGCATCTTTTTTATTATTTTTTTTATTTTTCCTTCTACTTGCTCTGATTGTGTTTTATTTTCCTATATTTTAATCATGTAAAGCACTTTGCATTGTCTTTGTACTGAATTGTGCAATAAAAATACATTTGCCTTGCCTTGCCTAGTATATAGCTGTTAATGTGTGTTTTTCAGTCACATTACAGTGCTACCACATTGCTCCCAAATATCCTATAAGGGATATTATGGTCTATCTAAAACAGTTTGTGTTTGCTTGGCAGCCCGTGGACTGCTTCTGATTAAGGAGCGCTGCAGCTTTTTACAGGAATTGCCTCGTATACCTGCAGCTCTGGAGGCCCTCCTTCATCCCTGATAAGAAGCAGGTAGCTCTGTCCATCCACCACGATTTCCTTCTTGAAGCGTCCTCCTGAAAAACAAACATACTAATGATATCTAATTTGTAATGCATTTAATTCCATTGATAAAACAAGTCAGCTGATATATTTTACACAATAACTACAGATAATAAAAATAGATAACTCTGACATAAAGGTTTGTTGCAATGTCTTCTTTTTAACCTTCCGTAAACTGTGCTATCCGGATCATATGCTGACACGAAACTGAGTCTCTCTGGAGCCAATTATGTGGGGGAGAAATTGCCATAAAGCATGTCTAATGCATACCGCTCTATGCCACCTATTCCTGCAAGTCGGAGAAAGGCCAGCTTTAACTTCAAAAGCCTCATCAGGCTGCTTGTTCTGTCTGCAGAGCTTCACAGGATTGCACAAAAATGAATCAGGAAAACATAGTGCTCTGCAAATAAACCCACGAAATACATATTCTGGGATAAAACCCCTACTAAAACACACATTAACTGGAGCTGGAGCTCATGTCAGAAAATGTCCACAGTATCATGGAGCAGACACTTGACTTGGTTTCCCTCCCTTTCTCTTTCTTTTTCTGATATAAATGCACATTTTCCTGCCACTGGCAAACCAGGCTGAAGATAAAGAATATACCAACGGAAGATCCAGCAAGTAAATTAGATTTTGCATATCATTTAACTGCTCTAAGATCCTGCAGAGATTAAAAACATTCAAATGAGAACGTTGGGTGGCTAGAGATGTCCCAAGGAGTGAAAACGGTGCATTATGAATACCAAAAAGTACGCTGAAGGCAATTTGACAGGATTAAATAATGCAAAGCCTTGACAAAGTCTTGTAACAGAGGCTGAAAAACTAATGCTAAAGGCAGCAGAAAAACACAGAATAAAAATGCATCTTTTGGTATTTTAGCTTTCAAACAATCAGAGGACAGTGTTGGGAGATTTTTTTTAACCAACATATTAAGAACTAAAGGTCACAGTGGGTAAGGGCTAGAAAGTAGCCGGCGGCTTTAATTTTTACTACAGGTGGACAGTTTTTCTTGTGTCAGCAAGCAATAGATTTCCACTTGAATCTCACTCCCATCCTGTTAAGTCCACTTTAGCCTGCCGGGCAAACAGGGGATTCTGCCAACCGACTGCAACGACTCTAAACCCATGCTTGGATGGTGGTTGTGTAATAAAGAGAGAGGGGGAGATTGATGGCATAGCAGCAAGATTTTTCCTTCTTGGTCTTTATTTGTTTTTCTGAAGTCGCAGAGCTTTGAAATTGCTCACACAAAGAACTTAAAGACGACGGATATGCATGTTTGAGTCTTGTTTGAAGATATGAGGCGGATCTGGTTACAAAGTAGGATACAGAGAACTGAAGGCTTGATGCAGCACAGAGTTTTTATGAACTTTTGGCAGCTTTTATCTGCAAACGGCAGCTAAGATTATGGGAATCTCAGATACAAGTTATGCGACAAAAGCATATGGCTCCAATGAAAACAGGGAAGAAATCTGGATGCAAACCGTATCATTGCATAACCATCCAAAATGCCTGTCTCTATTTAGAGTCGAACAAATAAAATGCATCCAAGGAACATTTTGGTGCTCCAAAATAGTTTCGGAGGCATTGAAAAGCAAAAGATCTTCAGAAAGTGTGGGTGCAGAGAGGATTGACCCTCACGGTGAGCATGGTTAACACGCAGCAAGCGTGCTCTGCTTTACACAGAGGCTCAGACCTTGACACTCAGCCACAATCCGACGGAGTGCCATCCTGTGTTGCCATGGCAACACTCCCCGGTACCATTTTCTTCTTTTTTTTTCTTGTATCATAGTAAAAGTCCAGGAACAAAACAGAAACAGCAACAGACAAGCCTTTTCCTCTTTGCCTGTGATGATTCTTTAGCGTGGACACTGCAGACAGGAGAAAAGTCGAAGCAAAAAGCAAATATGAGGCAGCTGCTGCTAATAAAACAGAAATGCTGTATCCACAAACAGAACGAGGAAACGAGAGACAGGAGCTGACATTTTTCTTTGATTACAACAACACGCACTCTGTTTTTGCAGCATTTTTTTGCCATTGATTTTCAAGGACTAATTAGGCTATGAGGATTTTTTTTTCTTTCAGAGCTCAGAAATGCCAGAAACTAATTATGTGCTTCAAGTCTCATCCACGCTATAATTACCCTAAAATGAAACACTGCAAAAAAAAAAAAATAAAAACTACTTCCAAAGATCATCGGTTAACTCTGGGTGTGCCGGCATCTTTGTGGGATTTTGAAGGACGGACCCTCCAGGGTAGCAGGGGGCATTCCTGTTATGATTTCTGCTTATACATACCTAAAAAAACGAGACTTATGATTTATCATCAAAATCATTTACAGCCTGCAGATTCACATTTTATCAGGCTTTTCCTATTCAAACAACAAATGATAATCTAATTCGTCTTAGTCTTTGTTTAAATAAAAGTATGTCACTCGCCCACAACAACAAAAAGATAAATCCAACAGCAAACATTCTGGCATGTGCTTCCTTGCACAAACCAAACCCACCAATGTCAAGTAAGTCTAAACCAGCCTGTGTGGTTTTCTTAACCGCACAGGGTTAAGAAAATACCAGAATACTGGTCAGAGCCCATTAATGGAAAAACGGAGGGAGCTATTTGTGCATTTAAATGTAGCGTGACCACTTTGTCCAGCAATCAATGTTACTAAATGTTTTCAATCACCAGTTAGCATACCAAGGACTTCACTTTGTTTTGATCATGGAGACATTACGATTTATGAAAACCCAGAAATAGCTTTATTTTAAAACTGGATTTCATTTTAAGCAGCCTTTCTGCTTTGATTTCATGATTCCCCAAGACCTTTGTATGGCCTCATTTTTATTAAGTCTTTGATCAGTTACAACATTATCACTCCTTATTCCAAACTATTCAAAATTCTCAAAATAAACTCAGTAGGAATTAAAAAGCCTGAGGTAAAATGTCTCCTTTGCACAGGCTGTTTCCTGTTAATCTATTGTTGCCTTAATAAAAAAAAATTGACATGGTCAGTCATATAAACAGATTGAATAATTAAGAACAGACTACAGAAACAGCAACTGTAAACAAACTTAATTTAATAGGAATGATATCCCTGTTTCTTCCTCTTTATAACCCCAAATGACCCTCATAACATCCAGCAGTCTTACCTTCGGGAGACTCCTCCTGCACATAGGTGCCTGTCAAGTATCGATGCACCAGAGCAGACTTCCCACTAGACAAATTTCCCACAATGCCCTGCAAGAAGAAGAAGAAAAAAAAAAAGAAGTAGAATCAGAATCAGACAATGTAGTTCAAACATTATGGCACATTGAATAAAGAGCACAGAACGATGATCAATGGAAAACAAATTTAAAAAAGTGTATTTTTATTTTGAATGCTTGCAACCTTTACTAAATCTGTATCTGTAAGTTGCGCTAAGAAATATGACATTCTTTTTTCTTTTTTTTTTGCAAAAGCTGTAATTGAAGCAGCTGTTTCTAAAAGCAGCTTTACTGTGATACCGTTTTGATGAACGACGGACATCTGATGAATTAACATTGTGGCCTTCTGTTTTACAGATGCGATTAGAGTGGTGAACATGCAGAAAGGCACTACGTTTTCTCTTTACAGGAAAAAGCTAGTAGTAGTAAGAAAACGAGAGCCTTTAAATTTCTAAAACAATACCAATATTGCAGCTCTGATTATTTACCGATACAGATATTGACCTGATACGATATCCGCATGAATCATGTATACTTTGGCTTCTTGTATTTAATTGTGTAACAATAGAAAGGCTTGATGAAGTGACTCAAACACAGAATAACGGTAAATAATAACAAGAGACATGACAACAACTGACCTACTAATTATTAACCATCAGAGATTCAGGTTTAGGCTGATATATTTCAATATCCTTTTTTTCTCAAAAATTCATCTTCATTCCAATGTTTTGTTTTACTAATATTATGCAGCCTTAGTCCATAATTAAAAATATATACAGATGATTGTATACATTATTACAAGAAACGAAAGAAAACCTTTAGAAAAGGGGCTGGGATTTATCAAAACTTTAACTCTAAGAAAAGATATTAGATATAGCAACTTTTGATTATATAACTGTACCATCTCATTCAATAGAAGACCTTACAGTGCATTTAGGTTTTGCAATTTGTTTCATATTCTCTCCAAGGACCTTTTACCCACAGAAAAAAGCACTGATACATCAATAAAGGCAAGCTTTAATCTTAGGTGGCCATCTTCCAATCTTCTAGTTGGAAACTCAATCAGGCCTAAAACCACACTTTTTGGAGGATGGAGGACGGTGAGGGAAGGAGATTCCAAGTTAGCTATTATCTGTTGCAGTAAAACCAAGCCAGAAATACTCAGATATTTATAAAACTATTTAAACAGGCAGAAAATTATGTCTTTATTTATTCGCAAACATATCAAGATGTGAGAGTCTGGCATGGCTGAAAGATAACTTATAGCAAAGTACAGAAACTTTGACCAAAGTTGACTATTAAACAGCAGATACATATGGGGAGTGATGTTTTTCTATTGCTAAATGCTCTACATTTGCTAATCAACAATGGAAGAGGCAGACCAACTCTGTCTGGTCTATTACTAGTAAAGGCCAATTTATACTTCTGACGCATAAACTCTGCAACCGTCAAATCTGTCTATGTGGGCGAGCAGACCTCAAGCGGAAGTGCGCAGCCAAAAAGCAGCTGTGATTGGTCCTTGGTATGCCTTTCCGGTTGTCTGCGTGGTTGTCCTCCCTGATTCTGTGTCGGGCGCGCCATTTTTAAAAACCGAGGAGTAATAACAGCAGTGGATAACCATGAGGAAAGGTCAATCAAGGTGGTTCAGAAGTACAACCACTTGTATGATGCCTCAGACATGATTTGGAAAATAAAAACTCCCGCCAGTGCCGCCGAAGAAGTTCTCATGACCATCCGCCGAAGTTCTTGCGAGATCTCGAATAGGCTCCCCTTTGCGCTTTGGTGGGAAACTGCTGTGCGTCCGTAAAAATTCCAGACGACGTTGCAGAAGCATACCAGTGAAACTGGTTCACGACCACACGCAAGCAACATTTGATGTGTGCGGATGCAGAAGTATAATCCGCCCTTAAGACACTCAACCTTAAGCTTGTATTATGATTTTCATCCCATTACTGTGAGAGCACCTAAACCAGCATGAACCTGAATACACCCACAAGCTTTCTGCAGGGTAGCAAACCCACTTAAAAGTCATAGTCTGCTTCAAGAAAAGCGGTAAAGGTAAAATACATTAACAGAATCAAAAATAAATGTAGCACAGCTTGGTTCTTTATTAAGGCCAGGAGGGCTCTTCTAATATCCAGGAGCTCTGTAGCAATCACTCCTCTGCTTTCACTCCCTTGAGTCTACACCAGACCTCAGTGTAATGCCTTCGGGTGAAACGTAGTGCATGGTGGGCTGATGATGCCTCCATGTCTGGGAAGAACAAAGGATGTATCACACCTCATCCCCCTCCTTCTTCCCCTCTACCCGCCATCTCCCTCTTCTTCATGAGATCATTAGTGGGAGTTAAAGTCAGGTATGGGTGTAATTATAGACAAGTTTGATGCAAGAAAAAAAAAAATCTTTTGGAGCCAATTGAAGATGCCATACCTTAAAATCTCAAGGAAGTTTTAAATATCTGGAACTACGCTAAAAAATAATAAATATATAGGAGTCTGTACATGTGAGTCAACAAAACAACTTTTAATGTGCCAGAGATCCAACATTCCTGCTGTGATTTTTAACAGCTAAGCTTTGTGACCTGCTGGTATACAGGTTTTTATTTAAACAAAATGCCACATCAGCAGTACTCCACTACAAGCTTATGCTCATCGTTGGAAGTGTTTCACTTTTATCTGGGAACAACTTCAAGAAGAAAGTTGATCAAAAGCTGGAATCAAAAATAGTTTTACCTTAGAAGCGGATGTATTAGCAGATGTATTTCTTTTTTTTTTACTCGCTAATGGTCTATTTAGTTTAGCCACAGGAAATGTGTTTGGTTTTTTTCCCATTAAAGTTTCCTTCAGAAATTTTCTGGTGACTAAAATCTGTTGATTTTCAGGTTCTTCGACCCTGACATGGACTTCTAAAAAAAACATATTTTTCCAGTTGGTGAATGAATCATACTCGAGTGTTTCCATCACAAAGCTCGTTGTTGTTGACGCTTATTTGTGATGAAGGAAGTCGGTTAATATCCACACAGAGACAGACCTAGGTGTATCCACACAGCTATTTCGTCATATGGGTGTTGCATCAAGCCACATCCACTGTGTCTAGAGAACATAAATTCAACATTTTGAAAGAGTGAACAGATTTTGAAGCACCAGTTTTGTGTTTCCATGTGTATGCAAGGTTTTCTCAAATGTGGACGCCGTAGATCAATCTCTCTCTGTAAACTGCATAATTCTCATTGCTACCAGGTTGCTGTGTTACTCTAATTTGTCTGAGCTTGTCTGGGGTTTTTGCTGACGATTTCGTGAGTGTTTTTTGTTAGTGTTAGATTGCCACCAAAGGGCCTGGCGTAAGTAAAGTAAGCACAGTAGTCCTACATTGACTTGCGTGGAAACAAATTTTAAGAAAAGATGCCATTTTTTTCTACATATAGTTGCCGGTGCAAAGGTTAAAGGTATAGTGGAGGATTTCGCAAATTTTTGAAAAGACCCGCCCTGTCCATTTTTTTTTTTTTTATGCACATGCAAAACCCTGTACTCGCTCCCAAGAGGGAACACCTATTAAACGCATTAAAAGTTGCTGTTTGCATCGCTCATACAAGCTTGATTTCCAACAGAAGATTTGCAATTTTTCCACTACAGTATGTCAAGACTCACCACCAGTAAGTGAAAATGGGGACGAGCTTTTAGGACGTCCTTACGTAAAAAGATCACCAGAATACCTCACAATTAGAGCCACTTATTTTGATGATCCACCTGGAAAAAGAACATCCTCCACTATAGTTTTAATTGTAGAAAACACCCCCAAGTTTGACATAATTGAATGTTGTGTGCTAATGTGGGATTAGCACTGGATTTAACACAACCTGAATGCCACTTATCTTCATGCTCCATATTTTGACTTTAACAAGAGGGCTATTATTATTACTATTAGGTGCCAGTAAATCATTCTCTAAATTCTGTGTTTCTGTACTATTGCCCAGCATTATTTGAAAAATTTAAAGAAACAGTTTGTGTAATCATGGCATGTATTTGCAAAAAAAGTGCATTTAATAATTATAATAATGCTTTATTTATAGTAAACTATCAAAGGGTCTTCCTTAAAACCTCTGAATACAAAAGAATGAAGATCTAAGATTTAGAACATAAGAGGCAAACCAAATTAGTCCTTTTGAATAACTAGTTAAAAATGTCCTTTGTTAAAAATGAACCCACTTTGGAAGAAAAAATGTTCCAAAAATCTTTTAGAGAGAGCTAATAAAGCAGCTCAAGTGTGTAATGTACGATTACTAATATACCCTCCCAGTTGGACATTTAAAGCAAAAACTGTGCCGTATGTATTTTAAAGGACATCATAAATATACTTTAGAGACTCGTTTCTATTTCTTTCTTATTAAAAATATTTAATAATCGCTAATAGCAGCAGGGCTAAAAAAGTATCCTAAATGCTGCTCTTAGATTTTCTTGTATATAAGCTCTGAAAAAGGAAATTTAATTATCTAAAATCTATTTTGGCAGTCGATTGGAGATGTGGAAATTATGAATAGTGTAACTCCATTGGCTCTGATCAAGAACTGCTGCGGCTTTATCTCTTCAGAAATGATTGGTTAGCCTCTTTTTAAAATTACCTTGTTGTTGACTACTGTCTGAAAACATAATTTTAACTTTCAGAAACCTTTTATCAAAGCCCCAATTAACACCTCAGAAGTATAAAGAGCTATTTGTATTTGAAGCATTTGATGTCAGCACAGCATGTTCCTCTTCCAGGTCACTGTTGAGTTTTTATTCAACTAAAGTTTTTTTTTTTTTTTTTTTTTTTGTCTAAAAGACACAGAAGCAATTTAACTACACAGAAATCAATGGGAACAACGCAGTGGCGGAGCTTTAGAGGGCATTGGACCATAAGAGGATGTTAGTTGTGCATTTGGCAGTATCTGTGCCTGTGTGCTCCACTGGCGGGTGAGATCAGACCCAGGAAGTGTCACCAGTCTAGCCCAAAACTGTCACTCATTTCACTTCCTGCTGCAAGCCACCTTGCGTCTCCATGCCAACCCATCTCATTAAAACATTAAAAAAAAATAAAATGGGAACAATTTTGTGCCAGTGGAAAAGTCCGGCCAATTTCGTCAAATGTGCTTTCTTGTATGAAATGAAAAAACAGTGCTACATAGACATAGGATGCTTGTTCGATGACATTTTCAATCCATCAGTGCATGAAATTATTCAGAAGAATCAACAGCTGGGCTGCTGGAAACTAAAAAGTTACTCACCACTTTTAGCTCCGGAACTGATCGACTCAATGTCCATTCCTGGCTGTTGACAAATGAGTCTGCAAACAAAACAAGAGACAAATGAGTAAATGACTAACATGATAACTGTAGTTTCCACCTTGATAGCAGAGATTGCATGACGTTTTACTGATTGGTATGTCACACGCCATACCTTGTTGATAAGAAAACACTTAACTAAGGTGGGTTAGGCTATAATCTTCAACACAGTCAAGGGTTACATACATTTTTCAACGCAAATACCAACTGTTATGTAAGTTAATGTTATTTCCCCTGGCTGTAAAATTAGACCATTCAATTGAGTTTAATATTTCCTGATTAATCAGTAAAGATGTATCAATATTTCTGATGTAAAACTGTAAGAAAAAACTAACTTTTTACAAAATCTGCAGATGAGTTAAAATATGCCAACACTTTCATAAAGATGGGTAACATCAGGTGCATCTTGAAAAAAAATATATATATTTTTTTTTAAAATACAATTTGATGCAAATACTTCAAAGCTCTTTATGAGTCTTCCATCATAAAATGGAAAAAAGGCTGATTTTAAGTCTTTGTAAGCTTTACTTGGAAAAAATATATATTTTTAGACCAATATATTCAAACTAATCTAATAATGTAAAATTTATTTAAAGTTCCAAATTATTCCAAGGTTAGTCACATGTTAATCTATTGTGACAATTCAACCTATTTTAGCAGAAAACTAAGTGTGGGAATTTTTAAGATTGTCTATGACATTATCAGGCTTTTCCAACTCCCGTTGATGGCCATATTTCTGGAGGATTTAGATGCATCCCTGGTCCGACACATTGGAATAAAATGGCTCAATTCCCTGTATATTATAGCTCCATAACTGCAGAGCGCTCTGATTATTAATTTCAGTCAGTTGCATTTAAGCAGGGACACAGGAGCCTGGTGCTTGGGAACTTTTTGAAGTTGATTCTGCAAATCCAAGGTTGACAAAAAGTAGCTTTGAAGCTTCATTATCAGTGCCTATCACAGAAATGCATAAAGAAAATCAGGAAACAAACACTATTATTTGGAAGGAAGAAAGACAAGTTAATTATGTATGTGAAGCAAGAAATTTAAGGTACTTTCTGTCTGGCTCTCTGCTTGATAATCTCAGATAAATTAAACAATACAGATAAAAAAAAAAAACACATTAAAAATCAGTTTTTCAGCAATATTGTTGCCACCTTGAAGTGTGTTTGAACAAGAATCAGAGGAAAATCTGACAAACTAGAAAGCTTCCCAGAAGTTATTGAGAAACAATGTTTTGTAATACATAGCCTTTAGGTAAATAGGTTTGTCAGATTAGGATTAAATACAGCATATTTTCAATAACCAGTGTTTATTAGGCTTGTTCGGACCTGTTTGAATTGCCGTTGATATTTGTAAACTAGATGGTAGTACTTTGAAAATGGACAGAAGGGAAGATTACCATAAAGAACAATAGAAACTAACAGCACTGACAACACCAATGCCAACTCCACAAGCTGAGCCTGTTTCCCACAGAGGACTATGTGTCATAACAACAGTCAGAACAAAGACACTCCTTCTAGTTTAGATCATGGTGTTCTTGCTATCAGGAGCCCTCCAAGGAAGCTGCTAACACCAACACTAGAACCCAGATGCCAGGAATCCAGAGCAAATAAGTTTGACCACCCCCCTGTCTTTTCTGCATGTCTCAACCATAGCAATTAAGGACTCATCCACCATCATTACTGTAAGACTTTGTTGCAGCAACAGCGATTTTCTTTTGTGCCTCAAGTGATGATGACATTAGAGGAAGAACGGAATAAGGTTTACACTAAGCCCTACTGCTATAGGGAACCCCTTCATTCTCTTTGCAGAAAGCATGACATGAGTGATTCATAAACCAAACAGACCTGAGCTAACAATGGTTTTATCTACTACAATTATCCCCTTTTAAATATTTACTTATTTCTGACCTCCATTTAGCCTCATGCTGCTTTTAGATGTCTCACTTATTGCGGGAGTGGGGAGGAGAGCATCCTGAACGCAAGGGATATTCACCAAGCATTGTGTACAGCAGACTAGTCTTTAGACAGCACGCCTCCTGCTAAGCCATCTCAGCGTGGGTTCGACATGTTGCAACATGAATGAAGTCTGCTGAGGAGCAGGTAGCTCAATGTAGGTCACACCAGACTGATCAGATAAGGCTGATGCCTCGTTTCCTTACATATCCCGTCCCTAGAGTTAAACAAGCAGCGATGAGAGACACATCATTGTGCGTCCAAGTTTTTTTGACATCTATTGTTAATTTTCACATTTTGTCCCACTGAAAACACCAGTTGCAAGGAATTTACTGGCTTTTTTTAAATAGAGACGATTTGGGCATAGTTATGAAGTGCTTTTCAAAGCAGTGTTTCTACAGATAGAAATGTTGGACATGGAGTCAGTCCCATTCACCACAGCTGTCCTGAAAAAACTAATATAACAATTTGTTTTTAGAGGACACCTATTTAGTTAAAAGAAATCACCTGTATGTAATTTAATCGCGCAATAAATATGATTAAGTTGTTCTGTGAAGAGAATATTGGTAAACGAACAGTGCTAAGATCAAGAAACGGAGCAAAGAAGTCAAGAGGTGTCAAAACACAAAGTTCTTGATGGGAAAATTATGCTGGAATGGGGAATAGTCTTCCAGTTGAACTATTTTACATGTGGTGACCTAGTGGTTAGGGCATAGAGCTTGGAATCCTGAGGTCGTGAGTTCGAAACTCACTCCCACAGACTGCAGCCCTGGGTCTCTGAGCAAGATCCTTAACCCCTGATTGCTGCCTGGGTAGCCCACGATGGCAGCCCACTGCTCTCAAGGGAATGAGTTAAATGCAGAGGTAATTATCTCTAATCTGATATCAATAAAGTTCAATTATTTTATGGGATTAAGCTGTAGAAATGCAGGAAACATAGGGAATTGGTGCAAAATCTCATAAGTTACAGGTGACAGTGGAGTCTGCATTGCTTAACTTAGAACCAAATGTGGGACTCATTTGTTATAAGATAAAATGTTTAAATTGTAAAAAGGGTTTAGGTTTTAAATGTACATCGTTAGAATATGTTTGCATGAAGGTTTCATAAATGTGGAACTATTCTTGATTTATTTAGTTGTATATTTTTAGGCTCAAATCGGTTCTAAAACCTTTATTCCTTAATGGATTAAATCCTTGCTGTGGGCAACTCAACCTCTGACTGAAGTTAATACCTTTTTTAGCACGCCTCACCTGGCTGTTAAAACATATACGTTATCACAGGAACAGATATGGTAACTCTCTCCATCAATTAAGGGTTTTGGACTGAAAAAGGTTAGACAACTAGTTTAGAATAGACTCCATTCATAAATAATGACCAAATAATGAGAATCTATGACAATAATTGAAAATTTAAATAAAAATATGTCTTTTAAATGAGTGATTTAATTAAAAAGATGTAAAACCAACAACAGCTTTTCTTCGTTAAGAATTATGCTACATAGAATCCCATTAAATGCATTTAAGCATTTGTTTATGACAAAATGTGTAAATGTTTAAGGGATACGAATACTTTTCTAAGGGTGGGCCTCTATAAGGCCAATTCCTTTATAACCATTTAGCTTATGTGAAAAATTGGCCTTATATAACAAATAGGAAATAGATTACACCACTTATTATATTATCTAAAATGCTTCAGGAATTTACCAGAAATTCTTCTTTAGGATGCAGTTGTAATGTTGATAAGAGATACAATTACTATGGTCCCCTATTAAAGGAAAGAGCCTTAATTAAATACTTGTGCTTTTTGTTACATCATCCTTTAAACATGATCATCCCTACATTACAGTGTCCCAGCATGTGAAGGGAAACAGAGAGCCCCATAATTTCTTATGCTAACAGAGGACACCGGTTCCTTTGTCTTTCTGACGGGAACACTGTGCTGCCTGCCTTTGCCTAACTTAAAATGTCCTCTGAGTCTGAGCGTTCTGTACCACAGCTGTCCCAGAACTTCTTCCATTTCACAGGGGTAGATAATTTAGCAGCAAATTTGTTCAAATGGTGGTTATGAGTGTGCCAGTGCATGTGTGTATTTCTTTATAGTGTGGCCTATAAGTGGGTTTTGGAATGAGAGAGAACGTCTCTGAGGTCTACATTTACACTCTGACTTTCCAACCATGCCTTTCCACCGTTAGAAATTATAGGCTGAGAATTCATCAGGCAAACTACTTCAATCGTTTGCCAACCTCCCAGCCAACCGACATTCCCTAACTGGCTTCTTTTCTGATGGTGTCCATCCAAAATTGCCCTGTAGCATCTTTTTTTTTTCTCTGTACTCTTTTCCAAAAACACACAGTCACTTACAAAACAATCAAGGAATGCTCTCATCTCCTGGGATATATTCCCAACACCTGTAATTTCCCTCAAATGGGACAGAAACGTAGTAAACACAATTATAACAGAATAAGATATGCATCTTCATGAACCCCCAGTCTAGTCGGCCTACTCCACTCAAAGCATGCAAAGATCAGTCATTTCTTTAAAACTACATTGACCATTCAGTATGAGATAACATTGACTTAAGATAAGCTAGTTAAATTAAAGACAGATGTCTTGGATGGTACAATTAGCAATGCCAAAAAGCCAAATGCCATTAATCGAAATGAATACACAGTTATTCAAGTCTTCAAATCTTTGCAGCTATTCCATGTAGAGGTGAGTATTGACATGAGTGTTGCGATTCGATACATGTCGCGATACCTGGGTCACGATACGATATTATCACGATATTGCAGTATCACTATATATTGCCATATTTTCCCCAGCTATCAAAATCAAATGATGAGATAAAACAGCAAGTGCTGTATATTTTCATCAGAAAATATTGATTAGGTATTATTATCCATGTTGTTTGGGGTTTTCTTCCACTGTGACTGCCTCAAATACAGATTTGGTTCAGCACGCACAGTTAAAGGGCTCCACAGCGCTTTCTGCCAGAGTGGTGGTGCAGAGGTAGCCCATTTTCCCATCAATGTTTTATGTAACCATTTTTTTTTTTTTTTGAAAATGGATTCGAAGCCAAAACAGCTATTATATTGGGCAGCCGAAAATCACGATATATCGCCAAAACGATTATTTCCCACACCCCTAATTCCATGCCACACTTAAATCTTCCAAACCCTGGAATTTTCTTTTAAATGTCACTTTGCAACCGCAAATTGCATACTGCTGATTTGGATGGTAAAACACCAGTAGACAAAAAGTTGAACTCCATTAGTGACTTAGTACAGCTTAAAAAATGGCTTCATTAATCTACTACCAAGACAGGTCAGGAAAAGCTTTTGTGAAAAATAATTGTGTTTTTTTTAGCATTTAGTATTTCTGAGAGTTCTATTTAATCAATCATCATTTCAATTCATTTAATGACAAAAACAAATACTTGCTCTAAAAAAAGATAGGATGGGAGAGAGATAAAACATAGCACACTTTTCAGATTTTTATTTGTGAAAATAATTGACCCATAATGAAGTAAGTTTTGGTCAATATGATCACAGCTAAATACTTTTGAGCTTTACTTTTTTAATGGGAAAAAATGGGAATACTTCTACAGGAAAATGAACACTAAATGTTAAATTCTCTTCAGACTTGTCATTGAAGCTGTTTCAGAACAGAAGGATCCAGCTCTTGTAGCAAACCAAAGTCACGAAGAACAAAATGTACCCTAGCTGAGATTTGCAGGGACAGATGCTGAAAGACAAGTTAGAGCCAATTGGCAGATTTCTCCTCTTTGCATATTTTATAACTGATTTTCTAATGTTTCTCTGACTATTCGTAACTCCTGCAGTAGGTTGAAAAGCATTAAAAGTATTAACATTTATGTTCAGATCATCACTATCCACCGTGGCATTAGATCTTTTTCTTACATTTTTTCGATTTGAGAGAAGGCAAAATCAAAAAGCAAGATAAAGTTCAAACCTGAATTATGGTTGGCAGGAATTTACACTGAGAGATATCAAATGAGACGGCGAAAAATAGGCAAAGGGAATTTCATCTTCATGAATATCTTTTATGTCAGAGTTAAGAAAAGCATACATGGATCTACGCAAAATCAAGGGGAATTTTCTTCAAAGTGTTCAAATGTCAGCATGAATTTGAGCAAACGCGAATCCTGGCACAGTGTTGTTTAATATATTCCAGAATCTAAAAGATATGTGCAACACAGACTGTGTAAGGCCCTCCAAGAGCCCCGTATCCCAATACACTTTCCACTGACCATTCCTAGGTCTGCGTGAACCACAGAGTGGCTTTGTTCATCCACAGGTGGGGGTGGGGTGGAGTGGGGACACCCAAGACTCCTCACTCAACTAAGCTCCCTTCCCCCTCAACCCTCGCAGTTCAGTTCTAGCCTTTCAGTTTTACCGGAGCTTTGGGTGAACCTTTAGCTTTCTGGATTTAATTTAAGAACAAGCACTTAGGCAGGTAGCGACAGGCACTGAGTCCCGCCCAGGGCATTGAACACCCAGCTTTGCTCAGGTTGATCGGCACACCTACATTCCTAATGCCTGACTGCCTGAATGAGGCTTTGGTGGAGTAAACGGACACACAAATTGGAAATCCATCACAAATGATGGGTATCCTAGGCAACATGTCACAGGAGAACACAAACAAAAGAGTTCATCAAGGTCAAGGCACTTAGACACAACTTCAAAAATCTAGCTTTAGTTAGTTTTTTTTTAAACAGTTAGGGGTTAACACCAGATTTGCTGTACCTCACAAAGGTTTTATATCTAGTCTTCAGGGGGAAACAAAAACAAAACAAAAGTTAATGAGTAAAAAAAGTAACAAATCTTAACAAATTACAGCCATTTGTTCAGAAAGTTGCAAATATGTGCCTCTAAACCAGCTGCTATCTTAGGCAACTAGACAAACACACTCCACTGCCAGAGTTAACCTTTAAACACTGTACTTAAGTCTTTTTCTCCATTCCCCATTATTATTGTATGCAAGCCATCCTAATATAGCTGTGCAAGGCTTCTAAATGCATTCTCATTACTGCTACTGTCTGCTTCAGCGTGACTTCTTTAAGCTGCATTTCCGACAGTGTTATCAGGAGCTGCCACCACCCAGCTGCCTCACTTTAAAACAATGTAGTATGTGTTCTGGTTTTATGTTACATTACTTCCCAGCTCAGCAAGAAAAATATTTGATAAGCAATAAGAAATTGCAGTGTGAGTGCATATAAACCAGGGGCTACTAATTAAAAACAATGGAGAGATATACCACCCAAAATAGATTTTTCAAAAGGATTTTCTGGCAGACGTTTTTGAATCATATCCAAACTTACAATTGCCCACATGTTTCTCATTTTCTTGTCCGCTTTGGGGTCGAGGGGTGGGGGGGTTGTACCCTTGTGAAGTTTTTTTTTTTTTTTTTTTTGCAGGCTATAACTTTCTTTGGCATGAATTATGGACTATGAATAGAGAGTGGAGCAGTAATAGAAATGCAGCACTTATGCAGGACTTACCTTGACCTTTGTGGCAGTTTGTGTCTGCCAAAGTCTCTATGGTGATTGGTGTTGCCTTATTATTCCCTGTCTGGTGATAGTGGCCAATGTCTTTGTTTTGGGACTGCTGGGATTCGAGTTTGTACGGCTGCTCTTTCCTCCTGAAACGGCTGGCTATGAGCTGCCATAAGCTTTGTTCTTCCTGCACTGGTTTGGAAGATAATTTTGCAGGACACAGGGGTACCTCCATTACCTTTGCCTTCCCCCTGCTGTGGTACTGAATGTACTGCATGCCCCCATGATCTGTAGGTTCACAGGGAGCTGGAAGTGTTTTTCCTGTGAGATACGAGAATGGACGTGGAGGCATCGCTGTATCCTCTGCAGAACCTTTAATAAGAGAGTTCTCCTTTGGCTCCCCCTCAGAACCTTTATTGATTTTCTCACATGGCCGTGTCCTCCTGATTCTCAAACTAAAGCTCCGCTTAAGAGAGGTCAGAGAAGTTTTAGAAGCATCAGATTTATTTGATTTTAGGAAGGATGTGGTGTCTTTGTAAGCCTCTTTATCCTTACCCTTATCTTGAGGTGTTTTGCCAAATAATTTCCAAGGAAAGCCTCCTTTGAAAAATCCCCCACTGTCATTGCCTGTTCGATTACAGTTTCTCTGATTGTCAATATCGTCATCTGAGCCCCTCTTTCGTAGTTCCAATACCGTCGTACTAAGAGGCCTGGGTCTACCAGTCCTTTGTCGACCCCGGAGCGGCACATCTGTGGACCCTGAAGAGCAATGAACCGACACAGAGTTGAGGCCATCCACTGTCCTCAGCTCAGCCTTTCTGCTCCTGTGCTGTGAGTTATTTTGTATCACTCCTTCCCTTTTGCACAGCTGATGAGCCTGGAGTTCTGAAAGGACTAGACCCTGGTCTGCCAGCATGCAAAAACTCCTTGGCCTCCCAAGCAGTCCTTCTTTACCTGATTGAGAATCTCCCTGCTGCTCAACTGGGCTGCCATACATACTCATCGTTCTTCTACTGTGCAAGGCTTCATTCTGTTTGGGCCTCCGTAACACGGCCCGCGGCATAGAGCTGTACTCTTGAACGGTGACATGATCCCTGTGGACCAACCTCTCAACATGGTCGGAGCATGATAATGAATCCTGAATATGTTGCTTCTGGGTATCTTCCTGAGCTGTTCGCTCTTCCACGTCCTTGATGTATTTTAAGTTCTTGGAGGGTTGTTTCAAAAACCTGTCAGTCTTCATTTTTCCTTTCACCTCCTCCTTCACAATAACTTCCTCTTTTTTGCTACCAGGTCTGCTTGTGCTGCTTAGAGAGGGCCATCTTTTGATCCTCTGCCTTGCCCTGCCTGGTCTCGGGCTGTTCTCCATAGGCACAAGATTCATTATCTTTTCTTTTAGGTGGGTATCCTCAAATAAGTTATTATTGTCCCATCCCATCTTGGCCTTTGATAATGCTGCATCTCTCTGTGTTTCTTTCAGATTTACAAAGAGACTGTAGGCAGTTATCCCATCCTGCTGTTGACCATCTCTGGCAGTCCTTGGGGTCACTTCCACAGTTCCACTGCTAAGGAATAGCATCACCCTCGAATCAAACACCCATATTTTTTCCTTCACACTTTAAAATAAGTATGAAACACTGACCAGTCTGCCTGGGAGATGAGAATCAGGTTATAAAGTCCTTCATTTGAAGCCTAAATTCCCATGCCAGACATAATCCCTCACCTCTGACACGAGAAAAGAAAAAAAAACTTCAAACAAGTTACTGCAAAGCCTCACTGCCACCTGCATCCTCTGGCTCCTTCACTTAGTAGACTCCCACGGGCTTTTTACTCTCCACTGCAGGTACCTGTCCTGTGTAAAGGATTGCCCAAAAGAAAAAAAAGTTCTTCAAGCAAAAAATATTTGAAGCAGATAAAAAAGAAACTTGAATCATCCTCCAAAGTTCGTCTTGCCTCTTTGTTTGGCAAGTTTACGGACCATGAGCAATGCTTTCAGTTGGTACAGACAAACCCCTTAATCTCTGAGTTCTTGCCATGCAGAGCGTGAGGGAGTGTGTCTGTGTTTGAACTTTTAGCTGCCTTCCAACCCCTGGGACACAGGGAAAACAAGGAGTGGATCCCAGGGGCATTAAACACGCCCTCTTTCTTTCTTTCTCCAGAGCTGACAGAAGCCCCCGAAGATAAAAACAAGATAAAAGTGAGCAAGAGACTGAGAAAAGTATGAGTTGCTGTAATCAGACAACAGTCTACAACAAAGACATATGAATGGACACTTTGTAGTGTTGTAGCCAATGGCAAAGCATAACAAAGAGATATGCATGTTTATATTTAAAGGAAAGGAGAGAATGGAGGATAAAAACCCATAAGATACTTTGCAAACGTTTGTGTATTTGAATATCTGTATGTGAACTCTTTAGAGAAAACTAACAATCTATTTAGACTGTGCACGCCTATGTTTCATAATTTGTTTCTCCTGATTCGATGAGAACTCATGTCAGTAACAAGGTCTTACCATAAAACCACAGAGCACACTTCAAGTGTATCTGACTGCAGCCTACACTCAGTGGGAGAGCTTAAGCTTAATTCCAAGATTGGATGACAGCTATTTATGGAGAGGAAACTATTCCTTTAAAACCACTGACAATTACATTGCAAGAGGTGGTACTGTAGACATTTTATAAATTATCTTCTCTGCATCTCAATTTGACTGCGGTTTCATTCATAGCCTTTAATGAGTAAGTTTAAAGGTTGAGCCATTTAAATCAATTGGCAACAGAATTAAGGAACATTTAATTTCTTGTTCCATTTACCTTATTTTTCAAAAGCTGTTGGGATTGATGTGGCATGTATTAAGCTGTGCCTTACAAAAACAAATGTAGAAGATTAATAAAGCCTGATTGATCCTGCAAACAAATGCATAGATTGAGCTGGAACACTGCCCCTTTCTGGTCACTTAGGGAACTGTTCTACTAGTTATGGACAAAAGTGCTTTATTTTGAGGATCTATTACTCAGGCAACCATTTTATGAGGAAAAACATGAAAAGAACTCCATCAAAAGATCTATCTATCTATCCTCTATAATAAAAAGCATCCATGTGTCTAAGTCAACATAAGTGCATTGAGTAAAAAAAACCAAACAAAAAGAATAACAATTATTGTGTTAAACAAATTAAGAAAACATATAAACCCAACTTTAAGGTTATCAAACATCTGATGAAAAAGTATTTATTTTAGTAAATGCTTATTCTTGTAGTACTACCCTCTTTAGAGATGTTTAGTTCTGTACAGTTAAAACACTTGGATTTTTTTGTTGGTCCTATAATATGTTATAATATTAAAAAAAGCTGCACATCTGATTGAAAACTGCACTTTAATCATAGGTTAACTTAAAACTTACTTAAAAATTGATATTTAAAACTTAGAAGTTTGAATTTTCTCAAGGTCATAATAATTATAATTGATCATCGTGATCTCACAATGGAGAAATCCACTTCTGCGTCTTAACCCATCCCCTTGGGGAGCAGTGGGCTGCCACTGTGCAGCGCCTGGAGCAATCGAGGGTTAAGGTTCTTGCTCAGGGACCTGGAGTGCAGGCTGTGGGGATTGAACCAGGTACTTGCACCCTTCTCAGAGCACAAGCGCACTGCTCTAACCACTAGGCCACCAATGCCTCATTTTTTGTGTTTGAATTTATGACCCTTTTTTATTAGGAAAACTGTTTCTTTCATCAGACATGTAAAATAATTACCTTTGATTTGATGAAAAAAAAAATGATTCAAATAGGTTTCAAAGTTCTTAGAGGATAAAAACAATGACATGAGTAAGAGAGGAATATAATTCAAAGGCAAACTAAAGAGGTCTTTTGATAGAAAACATTACAGATAAACCCAAAGCTCTCAGAAAGCAGCAGGGAATTTTGCTTTATTTTAGAGAAATAAGAAACTCTTTGTATTTTTGTTGCCACATTTGGGAGACCAAAGAAATTGTTTTAAAGTCAAATACAAGGCAACATTAGCTCTTAGGCTCCCCTACCGAAGTTTGATAAAGATCCTTTTACTATTATTTTAAAAGACTTTTCGGATCAGTGAACATATGAAATAAAATTATGTCTTGGTATAACAGGTGTCTAAACAGAAACATCACATTAAACATTAAACGTCTTCATTACACAATGCTACTTTGCAAATTAGACTAACTTATTATTGCTGTCAAATTACCATTTTTAATCTGAAGATATAATGTAGAGAAGCACAGTGTTGTTGGGTTTTATTGCTAACAAATATAAGCTACCCTTTAATACCATCAGTCAGAATGAAAACGAAACCACTTCAGGAATTTCCCAGGAAAGGTTGACAAACATGCCAAGCAACAGACACGTGCAATTTCAACATTTTCATGTGAAGGATATTTTTATCATGAAGTTCGATCTCAAACTTGCCTGACAGCTCCAGTCGGCCCAATTTTAACTGTGTCTCGGAAACGGCTAAGGAATGTCATCACGAAACAACCAGCTCCATTCGACTGAGATGTGTTTGCCTCCGACTTCCGCTGTATAGCAGTATAGGAACAAAGTGCAGCCATTTCACTAAATCTTTTATTGGGTTTTCTGGCATCACTGGCGTTGACAGCAGATATAGTTTCCTGGAGATCAACTCTTGTATCCAGCATTTTTGTCATATTTCCCAGTCTGCCAGGACCATATAGAAAAAAACAACACATCTTTTGTCATCTGCTTCATACAGCGGTTGTGATTTAATAAAGCAGAAAATGGAGCGGTTAATGGAATGTCTGAGAAAATGACCCAAAGAGGTCTGGTGCACTTAAAGTTATTTCACTCTTGTATTTTATAAAGATAGGATGATAATTTATCAAAGATCCAGGAGTTTTGGAGAAGTCCAAAGTTTTCTTACAGCTTCTCCTGTTTTTTTTTTTTTTTTTTTTTTCACCCAAAGCGTAGCGTTGATGTCTCTTGTAACCAAATCCTAAAGCCTTCCACGGAAAATCGCAAGAAATATTGGATTAGGATATTATAGGATTTTCTACACACCTCATATTGTGTTTACAAGTCATTTATCTCAACTTTGTCCCTGGGTGTAAAAAACAAAAACAAAGAAAAAAAGGGAAAAAAAAACATGAGCATATGGATGTTTTGGAGATTATTTCCTCCATATTTAGTCCTCTGTGACCCTTCCCCATTCTTTCCAACAAAACAGACACAAAAAAAAAAACAAGTGAGTGTGCTTCTTTGAAAAAAACAACAACATTGTAAATAAAACTAGGAAAGGTTCATAAATTTCTGCTACTGAAACGACTTAATGTTTCTGTCAAGTTGCACACCTTTATACATTTATAACGTCTGACTGAAAATGGTAAATGGTATGTACTTATATAGCGCCTTTATTCAAGTTAGGAGACTTGACCAAAGCGCTTTACACTACATTCATTCACCCATTCACACACACACTCACACACTGATGGTGGCAAGCTACATTGTAGCCACAGCTGCCCTGGGGCTCACTGACAGAAGCGAGGCTGCCGTACACTGGCGCTACCGGGCCCTCTGACCACCATCAGTAGACAATGCAGGTGAAGTGTCTTGCCCAAGGACACAACGACAATGAAAGTCAGAGTCGGGGCTTGAACCGTCAACCCTTCGATTTCAGGGCAAACTCCTACATCCAACGCCACTGTCGCCCCACAAAAAAGCTGAATCCACAAGAATAAGATTAAATTTTTAGGGAATATTGGGAAACATTTACATAATTATTACAATAAGGTGAATCAAAGTGAGCCAAATATGATCTGTTTACTAGAAATACTTATTTTTAGATGATATTTTTGCCACTAAAATGAAGTTATAAAAATACTTATAAAAATATTCTCATTAGACTAAAACTTGTTAGAAAACAACATATTCAGCCAAAAGAACTTTATATGATGCTATAGGAGACATTAAGAAGGTAGCATAGAGGCTTGGGTCTCCTTCCACTCTTTTGATGGCTTTTTTGAGAACAAATTAACATCCTGCAGCTTTCATCAATGTTTCACAATAGTTGAGAGGCCTAAAGACCTCCATACAAAATACAATGATAGCAGCATCGTGGTTGCTAGATTAAAAACTACACTCTAGATGAATATTTTAAAGTAAAACATTTAAGGGAGAAAAACAGAAACTATTGACGAGAGTATTTTTGAAATCGGAAATTTGCTGTAGAAGCTGCAAACTATACTCCGTAAAAAACAAAGGGTTTTATGAGTGGAGAAAACCTTTTTCTACATCAGTTATTGGGTGACCAGATCTCAAAAAACAAATGTGGGACAACTAGGATGTCTGTGGGACAGAGGCGATTTTTCATCTTTACCTTTTATTTTTGACTCACTTTTACAGTGTTGCATTAAAAAATGCTTCCCCTCGCATCATATTTAAATAACTTAGGCCAATTTAACAATAACCTCTGAGAATCACCTGTCACTGGCCTCAATCAGTTGCAGACCATTCTGCAGTGTTTTATTTCCTTTATTCATAGTTTGTATTAAAATCCTTTACCTGCTCAGTTTTAAGAGGATTTTGTGCAGCTTGGCAAAGATGTTGCATTTAGGAAAGGCGGCTTTAAACATATTTTTATAATTTGACACAGTCAAATGCAGGAAACTGCTTCTGTTTGTGGGAGGGAGCGACGACAGAAATGAAAACTGCAGGACTATCCTGACAATATCTATATCTATTCTCCCTACTAAGTTATGGAATACACAGTAAATTATCCCATGGTTTGATCACCTAAGAATCCATGTCTAAACCATTTTTGAAAAAGAAAAAAGAAATACTGAGCAGCATTGTAACTTGTAAATACTGTTGATTGTACAGAATGTGATCCTTATCTCGTTTTTATTCTTATCTTATTTTACTTTTATATCTCATTTTACACTGTTTACATTAGAATGGTATCATTTTCCTGTGTGAGTTGTAATTTTACTGTTTTTACTTTTTTTTTATTCTGTCTTGTTATACTATATTTTGTACTTACAATCTTATTGTCTCTCTTCT